CTTCGTCAATTACTTATGGTTGCTTCTCAAAAGGTAAAAACACCAACAATGGAACTACCGATTTTACATAGTTCATCATCATTACGTAAAGCAAAACGTTTACAACGTCGTTGGTCTCGTCTTTTATTTTCTTAAGTATTAAAAACTTTTAATATACATGAAAAACTTTCATTAAAATTAAATGATCATAAACATACATATAAAATTGAATTTTATTTTTATGAAAAATATGGAAAAAAAACAATTAAATGAAATAATATGTTCATTTGAAACATATTTTATTTCACGTTTATGTCGTTCAATAAATAAAAAACGTAAAGAATTAACAACAAGTGCTCTTTTAAGATCAGCCCATATTCGTGATAAGATAACAATTAATGATTCAAATGATAAAGATGAATAACAAGAATTAGCTGAAAAAGATGATGATGATGATGATGAACAAATTAATGGTGAAGCTAATACAGCCAAAGAAAAAGCAAATAGAAATGATGAAAAAGAATATGATGATGATGATAATAACAATAATGAAGAAAATGAAAACTGATGATGAAGAAACAATGCAAGATAATCAAGATGAAAATTATCAAACAGATACATCAAAAATGACTATTAAAGAAGATGTCATTGATGATGTACCAGGTAATCTTATTGAAAATAAATAAGAGAAATAAAACTTCAGAATTAGTTGTTTTTTGATAGATTATTGAGTTTTATAGTTACGTTTTTTTTTATTAAAATAAAAAAAGTGTTGTAAATGATGAATTTTAACGACTAATCTTTCAATATGTGAAATTCTTATGTACTGTTAATGTGCATTCTTGATGAAACATGTTTATTATAATATATTACAATAGATGCGAAAGAATACGTATCATAAATCATGACGCACACCTGAAGGATACGAGAAGAGATAATTTTCTCGCAGCAGCAGAACTAACGAGGTAAATTCATCAACTGTTCAATCTCTTTTGAGTTGAAAGTGTGTTCATTATGTAGGTTCTAATGAACTATGAATAATCTGAATTCGAATTCGAATTCTTAGATTATTGCTACCGAGCTACTCCATTTTTGAGAGTATTGTTTAAATGAATGCCGTGCTCCTTCTCCGGAAAACTTATTTTTGAATTTCAACTTGAACCTTTGTATACAAACAGATCTTAACGAGAATAGTTTATTGTAAAC